GAACCGGTGAGAGGGAGGGTGGTAAAAGGTGAAGTCAGAGGAGTCCTCAGGGAAACCAAGGAAGACACAAGGAACGGCGCGAGGCGAGAGCTTGTCCGCGGAGGTGTCGCGGACAAGAGCCAAGCACCCCCAGACACGAAACCTCGACGCGACACCAGGGGACCCTGTCCAAAGACTGGTCGGTGAAGCCTCCGGCCGAGAGACGCGTGGCCAGAGGTTCAGCTGGTGCGCGGCGTACCTGACCGCGTATGTCAAAATGAGGAATGAATGATGCATTGATGTTGGTTGGGGTACATATAGCTAACCCTAAGTTTTGTACCCCCTAAGACAAACCTCACTATAGGCTACAACATTTGACAGAACTCCCCATAAGGGCGCGTGTCTTTTGGTGTAGATTGTCAAAGTTCGAGCCTCATACCCCTTTGTACCATGTCGACACATCTCTCAACTGTACCATGTCAACCTCTCTAGAAGTTTGAACTATGGCAAAAGTTTAGCCTCAAGGACCGGCCAGGTGGCTCCTTGGAGCCTTCTGGTAGGTGCCTCCGTAAAGGCTATTTGGAGCGCGCGCTGTGATCATAAATTCCAAGACTCACCCTCCTCCTCTTTTGATACTCTCCAATTCATCCTGGCACAATTCCTCCTAGCTTTTAAAATCTTCCTCTGGCGCAGGAAGAAACAATCAGTTAAGAAACAACAACGCTCGGCCTCTCGTCTCAAGCTGGCCACCCGACTACGCTTTTTCGTTTTTTATCAGGAGGGCAACCCCTCTATCCACCCAGATCTTCGCTCGTCGTGGCTTCTCGGAGACCCCCGTCCCCCCTAAGCACTCCTCTTTTTTAGCATAGAGCGCTCCCCTGTCAAGAAGCTAGGCTAGGTTAGGAACCTAGGAGAGTGGCGAGAGAGTGGAATGTCGAGAAAGAAGGGGGGTTCACTATAGGCTCGAGGGTACAAATAGGAGACAAAGGAGGTGCACCACCAATACAAAGAGTTTATAACTACACTAAAGCTACAGCTACAGGCAGGTACATAAATATATATAAATATATATTCTAACACTCCCCCATAACTGCCTGCAGCAGGAGCTTGTGCAGCAACAACTCCTGGATGGGTACACCACGAACAGAGAAAGCAGCAACAGGAGGCAAGTGCAATGACAACCAGTGCAGTGGTGGCAGAGACAGCTGCAGCAAGCCCTGAGGCAAGAAAGAGAGAACGAAGACGATGTGCTGTGGCGCGCTTAGTTTGCAGCTTTACAGCAAAGAAGACGAACGAAGACGATGTGCTGTGGCGCGCTTAGTTTGCAGCTCAACAGCAAAGAAGACGAACGAAGAGAGAGAAGCGTCAGGGGCTGCAGAAGTAGGTGCCACATAGCAGGCAGCTGCAGATGCGTGGCTACTGGTTCCACCACTCTCTCTTACCCTCCCTTAGCATCTCTCATCCCCCCCCCTTTCTCCTACAGCAACTAGTGCTGCAGGAAAAGAGGAGGAGAGAGGGGAGGGACGGATTGCTGGAGGCTCACACCCGCCGCCCCCACATCTCCCCTTCCCCCTTCCCCCCCCCCTCCACTACGGAAGCCGCGGAAGGGAGGGTGGGGGGGTGGGGCGGCGGTAGCTGCTGCTGGCGCTGATGGTGGCGCAGGCGCTGGCGGCTGGCGGCTGCGCTGGCGTCTGCGCTGGCGGGCCGCGCTGGCGCTCGCGGCTGGCCGTGGCGCTGGCGTCCGCGCGGGGCGACGAAAGGGGGGCGCGGGGCGACGAAACGGGGGCCGCGGGCGACGGGAACGGGGGGCCGCGGGCGACGGGAACGGGGGGCCGCGGGCGACGGGAACGGGGGGCCGCGGGCGACGGGAACGGGGGGCCGCGGGCGACGGGAACGGGGGGCCGCGGGCGACGGGAACGGGGGGCCGCGGGCGACGGGAACGGGGGGCCGCGGGCGACGGGAACGGGGGGCCGCGGGCGACGGGAACGGGGGGCCGCGGGCGACGGGAACGGGGGGCCGCGGGCGACGGGAACGGGGGGCCGCGGGCGACGGGAACGGGGGGCCGCGGGCGACGGGAACGGGGGGCCGCGGGCGACGGGAACGGGGGGCCGCGGGGCGACGGAACGGAGGGCCGTGGGCGACGGGAACGGGGGGCCGCGGGGCGACGGAACGGAGGCCGCGGGACGACGGACGCGACGGCCGAAGAGCGCGACGGGACGAAGAAAAAAGTAGCACATTTCGCGCTGCAGGAAAGGCGGGCCCATGTTACTTAAAAAAAAAGAGAAGGTTCTAGGAAAGAACCAGCTCTGACACCATGTCAAGAAGCTAGGCTAGGTTAGGAACCTAGGAGAGTGGCGAGAGAGTGGAATGTCGAGAAAGAAGGGGGGTTCACTATAGGCTCGAGGGTACAAATAGGAGACAAAGGAGGTGCACCACCAATACAAAGAGTTTATAACTACACTAAAGCTACAGCTACAGGCAGGTACATAAATATATATAAATATATATTCTAACATCCCCAGCCTTGCTGGTGGTTATCTGTTGATAAGGAAATAACGTATTTCCTACGTACGCCCTTGGGCTGTTGGTTTGCTAAACCCTAAACTCGCCTCCCCTTGCGGAACCGCCGTCTTCTGCCAGGATTCAAATTCTGCGGTTGTAACCCACGCTGCACCCAGCTCCCTCTCGCGCTCCGGTGCTTTTTCAACAGCAACTCGACCATGTCGGCTTCACCTTTCTTGTGGCGTTCGGAGACGAGACACGATTTAATCTCACTTCTTCTTTTCTCTCTCTACTGGTGTGTCATAGTCCAAGATTTGAATGTTGATTGACAAGAGCTGCTCCATATTGACATGCCTCTCCGAAAAACGTCTCTTCTTGTACTTGCTCTGCTGCTTTGCGCAGCGAGCACGCACTTTAACGGAGCCTGAGCGCAGTCTAACGACGATGACTCCGAGTCCGTATCTCCGGGACTGAACGCAAACGCTAGTCTCATCGACTGCGGATGCAGTCCATACGCCCCACGCGTCTGTGGCTCCGACTTTGTGACTTATTCTTCCTACTGCGACGCGAAGTGCAACAACGTCAGGATCTTGGCCCGAGGAGCGTGCACCCGCTCCATGATTTGCAACTGCGCGTGCCTTAACCGAGCAGGAATGGCTCCTGATTCAACTCTCGGAATCAACAACCTGGATTCCATGTGCGGGGCAGTTTGCCCGTTTCCCGAGCTTCTTGGGAGTATTGCGTTCAATTGCCCTGATAGGTACAGATACGCGTGCAACCAGGCGTGCATGCAGACTGCAACGACTGTTTTAAGAAACGGAGGGAGGTACCTGACTGCTTATAATACGTGCAGGTCTGGATGTTTGTATTCACGTTGCGGCATCTGGAAGTAGCCGCTTCGATGAAAGGTGACTTCTGATTAGACTTAGAAGTCACCTCGGGAAGTATCTGCCTGCTTAGAATACGTGCAGGTCCGGATGTTTGTATTCATGCTGCGGCATCTGGAATTTGGTACCGTAGCTGGATTTGTAGAAGCAGGCAGGTTCTGCATACCGTATCTACCGTACCAGCTTGTGCAGCTTCTTCATCATCCTGGCAATATTGTTGGGACAAATATGAACCCTTTGGCTTGGGTCCTGGCAGGCGTGCATAGGGATCTCATCCCATGCTCCTGTCATTCCAACTTCTGGAGTGGAAATGTTCTCATTTGTTTGTAGTGGGGTGCACTGATTCAAAGGGTAGCAGCTCGTTGTAACCTCCCATCCTCCCATGCTGGTTCCTTCTTCCAGTGGTCCCTTCCACTTACTGACCATGCACACCCCAGAAGCAAGAATATTTGCAGGAAACTGTTTTTTTACCAACTTTGGTGGTAACCAGTCAGTCAGGTTCTTTGAACTGAGCATTAAGGGGCAAGGCAAGATGAACACATATGTCAGAGGTCCACTGGAGATCCCCGATGATCCTAGGGAAGGGTTACAGGCACGTCGGCCTGGGGGGTTATGGGCGCACTCACCCGCTATATAAACAAGCCCTTTTATCCCAGTGGTTAGTGGCTGGGATTCTGACATGGTATCAGAGCGAAGGTCTCGGGTTCGATTCCCGGTGTGTGCACTTCGGGCATCCCAGTGCGGGGGGGTGTCAGAGGTCCACTGGAGATCCCCGATGATCCTAGGGAAGGGTTACAGGCACGTCGGCCTGGGGGGTTATGGGCGCACTCACCCGCTATATAAACAAGCCATTTTATCCCAGTGGTTAGTGGCTGGGATTCTGACAACATAGACCATCCCAGGGTAGGTTCATACTATATCCTGTACATGCTGACACAGTGCGGTGCGATACCTGTATGTACATAGGCTACCTGCTTACCAAAGCTGATGCTGAACATCTGCCACAAGATGTTCTCTGTGCTGTATTCAACTAGCATCAGTAACATTTACAGTGACCTCATGCCACAGTCCAGCTACAGTACTTCCTCACACCATATTACCCATCTGTTCCACTCACCCCACCACCAGAAACCCCCACTGGCTGCCTCCCCTTCCCTCTCCCTCCAACCCTCCCTCTCCCCTCACTTCCCCTTCCCAATCCCCTTCGTCCTCTCCCCCCCGCATTCCCCTCCTTCCCTCCTCCTTTTTCACCTCTCCCCTTCCCTCCTCTTCCCCTCTTTCCCTTTCCAAGCTCCTCTGCTCCTCTCATTTCCTCTCCTCCTGCGTTTACCCCCTCCCAAGCATCACCATCCATAGAAAACCCTGCACTCTCAACCACCATCCCTCTCCTCCCCCTCCCTCTCCCTGCCCCTCTCCCCCTCCCTGTCTTTCCACCTCTCTCAGACTCACCCGCCCTCTTCCTTGACCGTCCATTCTCTTCAGGTGCCCGTTCTTCTGCTGCCCCTCTTGTCCTCTCCTGGTTCGAAACATTCTCATCTCGGGCTGCCCGTCTCTTTTTCGACCGTAAAGAGATAATTTCTTCCTGGCCTGCCCGCCTCTTTCTCGGTCCTTTCGACATAACTAATGCATCGGCTACTGCAGAAGAATCAGCAACAGCACTGGCACCAGCATCACCGCTGCTGGCACCATCTGCACCGCACTCCACCGCACCATTGGCTATCTCAAAGCCATCCAAACCACTTGCATGCAACCCTCTCTGGTCCCGGGCCACTTCCAAACCTCCTCTACCAAACTTGGATCGGCGCACCGGTTTACTACTCCGAGCCTTCCTCACCCACGCCTGAGCTCCATTTAGCATTCCATTCCTAGCCTCTGGCCCCATCCCAAACCTAACCTCTGGTGTATTTCCATCCCTAGCCTCTAGGTTCGAGCTTTGAAACGCCCCATTCCCAGCCTCTGGCCCGTTTCCAGCCCTAGCCTCTGGTTCGGTGACTTGAGGCATCTCAGAACCAGGAGCATCCAAGACCGTCTCATAACCAGAATTAAGAGCATCTCGTACGGAGATTTCGACCTGTATTTCGCCAAGAAAGCTTTCTTCTGCCCGGCCTCCTCCTCTTCCAGCCTCCTCCACTCTCACTTCAATCCTTTGCTCCCCTTGCTCTTCTCCTTCCTCCCTTAGCTCCAGTCCTCCTCCTCCACCTGTGAATCCCCCATCGAGATCTCCCAGCCCACCCCTGCCCTCCTGATCCTCTCCTCGCTGCTCTTGCTCCTCCCCTCCTTCCTCTTCCCCTCTCTCTTCTTGTTCCTCTCTTTCCTGTTCCCCTCGCTCCGCTTGCTCCTCTCCTCCTTCCTGCCCCCCTCGCTCCTCTTGCTCCCCTCCTCCTTCCTGTCCCCCTCGCTCCTCTTGCTCCCCTCCTTCCACCTGATTCATTAAACCCTGTGACATACGTATTCCCTCCTCTCCCACACCACCCGCCCCTGACCCCACTTCCTGCCCTGCCACATCACGTGCTCTTCCCTTTCTCCTCCTTTTGACAGGTCTTACATTCGACTCTTGCCCATCCACATCTTGTCCTCGTTTCTTTTTTCCCCGTTTTAGGCTTCTCACAAGTGACTCTTGCCCTTCCCTGTCAAATTCTCTTCCCACACTTCCCCTTCTCGCTTTCCTGCCTCTCTTGCCTTTTCCCACCTTCGCGCCTTCTCCCTCCCTCACTCCTTCTCTCCCACTCACGTCCTCTCCTTCGCTCACGCCATCTCCCTCTCTCACACCCTCCTCCCCGTTCACACGTTCTCTCTCTCTCACGCTTTCTCCCTCCCTCACACGTGCTTCATCAGACACACCACCATCGCCCTCCCTCACACCTTCCCCATCTCCTAGTCCTCCACTTCCTCTCACCCCTCCCTCACTCCCTCCCTCTCCCCCACTCGCTCCCCCATACCCAACTGGCAACCCCCCTCCACGAATCCAATGCAGCCGCACCATTTGCTGAAGATTCCGAGCCTGAGCCTCAGTCCGAGCCTGCTTGGTCCGGCGCACGAGCCTCCTGCGTGCTGCTGCCCGAACCTGATCAGTCCAGGGCCGGTCTAAGACGCTCCAGCCAATGGGAAGAAAGGGAGGTGGTGGTAACCGGTGTTGATGTAACAGTGAGGGATGTAACACGGAGGGGTGTAACAAGGGAGGTCGCACGAAGTGGGGTTGGTGTGGAAAAAAGGGAGGGAAGAGGAACGGTGGGGGGGTAAAAGGAGGAGGAGGAAGAGGGCGGTTGAAGAGAAGGGGATGGGATGAAGGGGGATGGGGAGAAGAGGGGGTAGCAGAAGGTGCAGCAGCAGGAGGAGCAGAAGGCGCAGCAGGAGGAGCAGAAGAGGGGGAGCTTGAGAGCATCCCTGCAATGGCTCCTGCTTCTTCTCCTCCTTCTCCTTCTCCTCTTTCTCTCCCCCCTCCTTCTCCCTCTTTTCCTCCTCTTTCCTCACCCCCATTCCCCTCCTTTTCACCACCCTCACCCTCCCCCTTCCTGCCTCCCCCTCTTTCCCCCTCTTGCTCCACCATTTCCTCCCCATTCCCCCCCTCGGCCCCAGATTCGTTCCCCTTGGCCTTCCCCCCTTCCGCCTTCTCCCCCTTGCTCTTCTTCCCCCTCCCCCTGGAGTCCCCTGGTGCTCTCAGGAGTCGACGGCGAGGGGGAGGGGGAGGGGGAGGGGGAGGGGGAGGAGCAGGGGAAGGGATAGGCGCAACAGGAGTAGGAGGAGCAGGAGCAGGGGGGATTGAAGTAGCAGAGGGAGCAGCAGCAGCAGGGGTAGCAGGAGCAGGGGCAGTGGGGATAAGGGCAGCAAGATCAGGAGGAGCAGGAGTAGGAGCAGAACGAGCAAGGGGATTCAGAGCAGGGGGCGGAGGAGTACAGATAGTAGGGAGGGAAGGAGCAGCAGTAGCAGGGGCAGGGGCATTGGGAGCAGCAGAAGGAGGGGCAGGGGCATTGGGAGCAGCAGGAGCAGGGGCAGGGGTAGTAGGAGCAGCAGGAGCAGGAGCAACGGTGGTAGAAGCAGCAGGAGGGCAGGCAGGTGAACGGGCAGGAGCTGAGGCAGCAGAGTTTGCAGGAGCAGCAACCGATGCAATCGGTGATGTAGTTGCTACTGGTGCTGCTGGTAAACTAGTTGGTGCTGTTGGTGCTGCTGACATGGTTGCTGCGAGTTGCGCTGGTGCTGGTAACAGCGATTCGTCTGTTCCTGCTGCACCTGCACTGCCAGCAGCAGCAGCAGCAGCAGCAGGACCATCACCACTAGCACCACCCCTTCCTGTGACTATATGCGTTGGCGGTGTGACTATATGAGGTGTTGTTTTGACTATGTCCGGTGGTGCGACTGCATGTGGTGGTGCGACTGCATGTGGTGGTGCGACTGCATGTGGTGGTGTGACTGCATGTGATGGTGTGACTGCATGTGATGGTGTGACTGCATGTGATGGTGTGACTGCACCTGTTGCTGCCACTGCACCCACCGCTCCATCTGCTTCGCCTGTTGCATCCCCTAGCCTCCGTGTCTTCTGCCGCCCTCCTTTTGGATGCATCCTGAGCCATTGCCTGCACAACAAGACAAAACAAGCAAGTGGCAAAAGAATCAACATTATCAGGACGTCTCAAAATCTGCCGCCCTCCTTTTGGATGCATCTTGAGCCAAAGCCTGTGTTGTTATACAGGCTTTGCTAGGAGCCTAAGATTTAAAAGAAGTACTTTTGTGGTTTAACTCTTGCACTGGCAGTCCGTTCTCGGCCAGCAGGCAACAGCCACGTTCGTCCAATTCAACCCCCCCCCCCCCCACACCAAGGATGCATAAACATTAACTCAAAAAAATTACCCCACCTCTTGCACTACTAGCAGTCCGTTCTAGGCCAGCAAGCAACAGCCACACTGTGAGGTGCTCCTGTCTGTACCCTTTAGAAGGTGCCCCAGTACTACAATAACCACTTTGGTTTCTTACCTCTTGCACTGGCAGTCCGTTCTAGGCCAGCAAGCAACAGCCACACTGTGAGCTGCTCCTGTCTGTACCCTTTAAAAGGTGCCCCAGTACTACAATAACCACTTTGGTTTCTTACCTCTTGCACTGGCAGTCCGTTCTAGGCCAGCAAGCAACAGCACTCAACACCAGAATGGCATAAAGACAAACTCAAACTTACCTCAATTCATTTATTAGATTCCCTCACCTCTTGCACTGGCAGTCCGTTCTCGGCCAGCACCACCTTGAGCCTTGAGCCTTGCCAGCAAGCAACAGCCACACCACACCTTGAGCCTTGAGCTGCTCCAGTCATTACCCTAGTTAGGGTGCCGCAGTAAAAAAAAATGATATTTCTTCCTACCTCTTGCACTGGCAGTCTGTTCTCGGCCAGCAAGCAACAGCCACGTTCGTCCAATTCCCCACGCCGAACCTCCCCACAGCCTCCTCCAGCCGCCGAACCTCCTCGCCGGACCACGGCCCGAACCTCAGGTTCGGGTCGAGCACGTTGCACCAGCGCTCCCGAACCTGCACCTCGGTGCGGTTCGGCACCAGGGCTGCGATTCTCCTCCAATGGGGCGTGCCGAACACGCCCACAGCCAATCGCAGCCTGTCGTTCTCCTCGGGCGTCCACGCGGCCCTGCTGACGTGGCGCAGATGATGCTGCCAGCTGGACGGTGGGAAGAGGGGGCAAGTTGCGGATGGAGGGCAGATGGAACTTAGAAGGTGGGAAGGAGAAACATGACGATTGAATCTTGAGAATCTTTTGAGCATCCTCAAAAGTGACACAAGCATGCCAAGGAATCTTGGTGGAGAGGAGAGGAGCCTATCGACAGTCACTCTTGAGCCAATACAGGGAGTTTTTGAGAATTCTAAAAAAAATCTCAGAAACTACCCGAGAATTCTCAAAACCTCCCTGAGGAGCACATCGACAGTCACCATTGAGCCAATATGCCATCACAAGCATGCCTACCTCCCATATGCCATCACAAGTATCAGCATAAGCATCAGCATCAGCATCAGCATAAGCATCAGCATCAGCATAAGCATCAGCATCAGCATCAGCATCAGCATCAGCATCAGCATAAGCATCAGCATCAGCATCAGCATCAGCAACAGCATCAGCATCAGCATAAGCATAAGCATCAGCATCAGCATCAGCATAAGCATCAGCATCAGCATAAGCATCAGCATAAGCATCAGCATCAGCATCAGCATAAGCATCAGCATCAGCATAAGCATCAGCATCAGCATCAGCATCAGCATCAGCATCAGCATCAGCATAAGCATCAGCATCAGCATCAGCATCAGCATCAGCATCAGCATCAGCATAAGCATCAGCATCAGCATCAGCATCAGCATCAGCATAAGCATCAGCATCAGCATCAGCATCAGCATCAGCATCAGCATAAGCATAAGCATCAGCATCAGCATCAGCATCAGCATCAGCATCAGCATCAGCATCAGCATCAACATCAGCATCAGCATCAGCATCAGCACCACCAGTATAGCCTCCTTACACTCACTCACCGCTGCAAGCACTCTCTCCCGCTCCGCCCCTCCACTGCCAGAGCCACTGCCGCCCAGTTCACCTCGCCGTGCTCCTTTGAGTCTGCTCAACCATACTACCTAACAGAACAATTTCCCTCCTTACAATCACTCACCGCTGCAAGCACTCCCTGCCGCTCCGCCCCTCCACCGCCAGCGCCACTGCCGCCCAGTTCACCTCGCCGTGCCGCCTCACTGCAGCCGCCAGCTGTCTGTCCTCTTCTGCCGACCAATGGTGTCGCGCCACGTGGGGGTTCCACCACTTTTGGTACCCCATCAGACACTGTAGCGCCGTCCTCCTCCTCCTCTCCCTCATCTCACTCCCCTTCCCTTCCTCTCCTCTTCCTCCTGTTCTTCCTACCCCTCGTCCATTTCCCCTCCTTTCTCCCTCCCTCCCCACACCCTCTCCCCCTTCCTCCCACAACACCTCCTCTCCCTCCTCCTCCTCCCTCACTCTCCTATTAACCTCCTCTGCTATCCCCTCCCACCCACACAGCCCCCTACTCTCCGCCACCTCTTGCAGGATTTCCTCCTCCCTGTCGCTCCACTCTCCCCAGGTTATGCTTGGATCGTCCACATTCAACCACCTGAAACGAAAGGAAAAGAGTGAAACTGACTCGAACCGCATTAAACCACTCCTTTCAGGCCCCCATCCGCACAGTCCCCTACTCCACGCCACCTCTTGTAGTATTTCCTCCTCCTTTCGCTCCACTCGCCCCATGTTATGGTTGGGTTGGGTCATCCACGTTCAATTCAACCACCTGAAATGCATCGAAAAGACTCAAAGCATTAAGAACCGCAATGAACCACTCATTTCACCCTCCTAGCCGCACAGACCCCTATTTACCGCCACCTTCTCCTCGTATCCTTTATCGATGTCCTGGTGCCGCACTGAACCCAGCTGACCGTTCTTCACCGCACTCAACCTCCCTTGTTACCTCAGCTTGCACTCCAGGGCCGTGCACCTGAGGTGCAGGCTTCCTCTCTAACCTTCAATTAGCCTTCAATTAACCTTCATAGACGCAGCAGCCACGACTTCAGACCACACTCCACACTCAATAAATCCCCTATGTTTCCAACCCAACCGCAATTCACCGCACTCAACACCCCTTGATACCTCAGCTTGCACTCGAGTGCCGTGCGCCTGAGGTGCAGCCCCCGTCTGATGCTCCTATTGGCCAGATTCACAAACGCAGCCTCAACTGGCGTCAACTAGTGCGCTCCCTTCCTCCACAGTCAACCACTTGACAAAACGCACTCTATCGCTCTTCACCGCACTCAAACCCCCTCAATACCTCAATTTGCACTCCAGCGCCGTGCGCCTGAGGTGCAGCCCTCGTCCGATGCTCCTATTGGCCGGATTCACAAACGCAGCGGCCACTGTCGACCAATCAACACGCGCCACGGCAGCACGCATGGCCTCTGGTGTGAGCTGGCGGGATTTGATCTCTGCTATAGTGCGCTGGAGGAGAGACCTGGGGGTTGGGTGGGGGAGATATACGGGAAAGGAGAGGAGTAACGGAGAAGGGAGGGCGGGCGTTAGGGAAGGTGTGGGTGGGTCAGCACGCATGGTCCCTGGCGTGAGCTGGCGGGATTTGATCTCTGCTATGGTGCGCTGTAGGAGAGACCTGAGGGGAGCAGAGCAGAACGGGAAAGAGGAATATTGAGGAGGCAGTGGGGTGGGCCAGCACGCATGACTTTTGAGTCGACTAAAAAGTCATCTGCTGGATCTGGGTCGAACCTTCTTCTCTATGCGGTGGATGGGGCAGCACGCATGGCCTCTGGTGAGAGCTGGCTTCTAGGTTTGAACGATCATCCTCGATCCCTCCCTCACACACCCACTCACCTATCCAGAGTGATTTCTGGTCATTCCCTCACCGCCTCTTCAATCATTTCCTGCATCACCTGCTGCTTCACCCCCTCCCTTAACGACCATTCAATCACTCACACGCCCACTCACCTATCCAGAGTGATTTTTGGTCATTCCCTCACCGCCTCCTCTATCATTCCCTGCGTCACCTGCTGCTCCACCCCCTCCCGCAATGCACCATTTGATCACTCACACAGTCACTGATTCGAAACCTCCCTCCCTCACACGCCCACTCACCTATCCAGAGTGATTTCGGGTCGTTCCCTCACCGCCTCTTCAATCATCCCCTGCACCACCTCCTGTTCCACAACCTCCCTAAACGCGCTCGCATATGCTCACTCAACCCGTCATTCAACAACTCACCTGTCCAGAGTGATTTCTGGTCGTTCCCTCACCGCCTCCTCTATCATCCCTTGCACCACCTGCTGTTCCACCCCCTCCCTCAAACGCTCACTCACCCTGTCCTTCACCTGCTGTCCATCATTCACCCACTCACCTATCCAGAGTAATTTCTGGTCGTTCCCTCACCGCCTCCTCGATCATCCCCTGCACCACCTGCTGTTCCACCCCCTCCCGCAACGCGCCCACTTCCCCCTTCCCCCACTTCCTCCCGCGAAACACCAGCGGCATCACCCCTCTCAACCGCTCAAACACCCCCTGATCCTCATTCACAGGCATGTCGCGCGAGGAAGCCTCCAAATTGCTGCGATCATGCGGATCCGGGTCAAATCCCAGGGAGGAGTACTTGTGTTTTCTCCCGCGCTTTTGTCTCGGCTTAGCCCAGTTCACTAGAAGCATTTCAGCCGCATGCCCCCCGTATATGCGACCTGCACCCTCTCCTCCCCCTCCTCCTGCAATACCCCACACTCCTCCTCCTGCTCCTCCTCCTCCTCCTGCTGCTGCTGCTGCTGCTCCTGCTGCTGCTGCTCCTTCTCTTACTCCTGGTTCGTCTCTTGTCCCCCACCCTGCCCCTCCCCCCAAGCCTCCTATCACTCTTCTAGCAGCTCTTCTTGCCCGAGCCTCGAACCCAGCCACGGTTCTGACGCGCCGAAGCAGCTCCCGAGCCTGCCCCTCCCGAGCCTCCACAGCTGCCAGCAAATCGTGGAGCGCCAGCTGGCAGCGACGGTTGGCCTGCATGGCGATTCTAACTGCTGCCACGTCAGCAGGAGATAGAAAAGAAGGGTCGGTGGGAGGCTCGGAAGCAGTCGCAGAAGGAAAAGCAGCAGGTTCGGTGGCAGCTGCCGGAGGTTCAGCACCAGCAGCAGGTTCGGGGACAGAAGCAAGAGGTTCGGCAGCAGGTTCGGGGACAGACGAACCGCCTACCTCACAAGCTCTACCAGAAGCAGAATTCTGTTCACCCAGACCAGCTTCTGTTGTTTCCTCCTGGCTTTTCTCCTGAACATCAACCTGATCATCCACCTGACCACGAACTGCTCCTCCAGGTGGTGCGCACAGCAGCAGTGGTGCTCGCCCTGATGCGGAATAGTCCTCCTCTCCTTCTGCATATGCCCACCCTTCTCCAGGGGGTACCACCGTCTCTTCAGCAGGGATTACCACTAGCGCCCCTGATGCAACAACCTCTGCACCTTCTGCATCTGCTCCCACTTCACCTGGGGTTACCACCAACTGTTCTCCGGGAATTACCAACGAATCTTCCCCTGGGATTGCCACCAATTCGTTTGCTGGAACTATCACAGACCCTTCCCCTGGGGTTACCACCACCGCTTCTCCCGAGGTTACTACAGCCAAAGCTTGTTCTGGTGATGCCCCTTCCGGCACTGCAGGTGAGTGCACTTCCAATGCTGTCGTCCCTGCTACCGGAGTTACCACCAATTCCCCACCACCTCGGACATCTACCCCAGCTGCCCCACTACAGTCAGAGCCAGCTTCTTGTGCCGCCGTCTTCACAGCTTCTCCCGAGGTTACTACAGCCAAAGCTTGTTCTGGCACAGCTTCTCCCGAGTTCTTTGTCGCTCCCTCAGGCACTACTGGTGACCGCTCTTCCACTTGTGCTGACCCTGCCACTGGGGTTACATCAGGCACTGTTACTGGGGTTACCACCGAGTCTTCTGCAGCCGTTACCACCAGCACTTCCTGCGAGCTCGCAATAGCTTGTTCAAATGGCGGCCCTTCTGTCTCTGCTGGTGGTTCTGCTTCTGCTTGTGTTGTCATCCCTACTTCTGCTGTTACCACCACCGTTTCTTCTGCTGGGGTTACCACCATTGAATGTTCTGCACCCTCCTCTCCCTCCTCTGCTCCCTCCTTTGCTCCTCCCTCTGCTCTTTCCTCTGCCCTCTCCTCTGTCCCCACTGCTGCCACTTGTGCTGCTGCTGTGTTGCCATCTGCCATTCCTTCAATGCTCTTCTCCCCTCCAACAGCCATACCTGCTTCTTCTGCTGCACCATCATTGGCAGCAACACTAGCACCTGCAGAAGCACCACCAGCAGCCGCACCAGCAGCAGCAGAACGGGAGGCTAAGGTAGTAGCGGAAGGCTCATGAACAGACTCAGCAGCAGGAGCAGAAAGAGGAAGGGTGGAAGCAACAGGAACTAGACTCAACTCCGCACCAGAAGCAGAGGCAGAGGCAGAGGCAGAGGCAGAGGCATGGGAGGAAGCAAGGGGAGCTAGACTCAACTCAGCAGCAGCAGCAGGAGGCGCAACTGCTGATGTCACTTTCCGGGAGGAAGGTGGGAGGAAGCTTCCAATCACTCCCAGCTGTCGCTCCAGCTGCCTCCTTGCCTCTGCGAGCTTCTGCAGCTCTCTCAGCTGTGCCACGTCAGCATGAGGCAGCGCCACATCAGCATCACTCATAGCTGCGATTCCCCACTCTCTTCCCTCTTCCTCCTCACCCCAACCCCCTATCCACTCATCACCATCACCACCACCACCACCATCACCACCATACCCATCACCGGGTGCAGTCACTGCCTGGGGCAACTGAAAGCCTCCCACCACCACTGCTTCTGTCTCTCCTTCCCCTCCTGCACTCCCTGCTCCTCCTGCCCCTCTTTCTCCTCGAGCAGCGCTCACACCAGTGATATTATCTCCACCGCTGCACGCTGCACTAGCTTCAAGTAAGCCCTCCCGCTCTGCAACTGAAATCAGTCCCTGTTGCACACCGCTCACAACCCCTCTCCCTCCCTTACCCCCTCCCCTGCCCTTTCCCCTACCCCTAGCCCCTTCCATCCCCTCTCCCTTCCCCTCAGTTCCTGTTCCACCTCTTCCCCGTCCCCGTCCCCGTCCCCTACCCCTTCCGCCCTCTGCTCCCTCCTCTCGTCCACCCTCCCCTCTCTCATCCTCACCACCAAGAGTCGATGCCCTCCCCCTTCCCCTACCTCTCCCCCTCCCTCCTCTTGAATTTTGAGCCGCGATTTCTCCCCAAACCTCCATATCTGCCCCAAGTACCGCCTTCCCCCTACTGCGCCCTCTTCCTCTCCCTCTGCTCCCCCTCCCGCCACCTCTTCCTCCTTTCACTCCCCTCCCCTCAAGCTCCCCGCTTGACTCACTACCCTCCGCCCCCCCTTTAGCCCCCCTCCTTTCTCCTCCCGCTACTGCTTCACCCTCTATCCCTCGCACCCCTGCCTTTCTTCCTCCCTTCTTTCCCACCTCTCCCCCTGTTCCCCCTTTCTCTCTCCCCCCTCTCCCTCCTCCCCCCCCCATCCCTCCCAGCAGCCCTTCAATCTCCTCCAACAGCCAATCATCGCCCTCTCCCTCTCTCCCTCCCCTCCCCTTCTTCTCCACAACTTCACCTGTCCTCACTCCCCTCCCCCTCGTCTCCCCATCCCCACCAGCTTGGGTCGCAATGAGGGGAGACTGTCCGAAGGTCCTGGTAGACCCCACCTGCTGCACGGACAGGCTACAAATCTGCCGAGCAAACTCCAGCAATGCCTCGTCCTCCTCTGCTTCATCCCTTGTCTCTTCCTCTGACTCGCCCTCCTCTCCCTCTTCTTCTTCCTCCTCTCCCTCCTCCCCGTCTTCTTCCTCTCCCTCTGTTTCTGATGCCTCTTCCTCCTCCTCTGCTTCCGCCCCATGCACACTCCTCACACCTCCAACTGCTTGTCTCACGGCCTTTCTCTTGTCTGTTTTCTCCACAAAACCCACCCCACCGTTCACAAACCCCCTCCCTCGGCCCCTCCCGCGCCCTCTCCCTCCCTCTGCTACTCTCGCCCTCCCTCGTTCCACTCCTCTTCCCCTCCCTCTCTCGGCCCTTCCGCCCCGGCTACTGCCCCTACCCACGCCTCTCCCCCCCGCCCTCCCCCCTCCTCGTCCACGCCCCTCGCGCCCTTCCCCTGAACCTCTCTGAGCCACCCCCCTACCTCGCCCCCTCCCTCCCCTCCCACCTCTTGACTGCGTTCCCTTCACTCCCTCCTCTCTTGCCGTCTCATGCATGTGCGTTCCTGCTCTTTGCGCAAAGGACAACGCTTGCACCTCACTTGCCGCACGCATCTGACTTGCCACCCGCATCTGACTTCCTGTCTGTATCTCACTTGCTGCCCGTATCTCACTTGCTGCCCGTATCTCACTTGCTGCCCGTATCTCACTTGCTGCCCGTATCTCACTTGCTGCCCGTATCTCACTTGCTGCCCGTATCTCACTTGCTGCCCGTATCTCACTTGCTGCCCGTATCTCACTTGCTGCCCGTATCTCACTTGCTGCCCGTATCTCACTTGCTGCCCGTATCTCACTTGCTGCCCGTATCTCACTTGCTGCCCGTATCTCACTTGCTGCCCGTATCTCACTTGCTGCCCGTATCTCACTTGCTGCCCGTATCTCACTTGCTGCCCGCTCCTGGTTCGATTGCAAGCCTGCTGCACGCTGTTGACCTGTTCGTGCCGCCTCCTCAGCCTGTCTTGCTGACGTGGCAGGCACTGTTGACGTGGCAGGCTTCACGACCATCATTTGACGCACCAATTGGAGCAATCTGTCATCCTCATCCTCCTCTTCCTCCTCATCTTCCAAACGTAACCTTTCTTCAACATCCACATGCCGCCGTCCCCTCTCACTCATCTCCTCGCTTCCTCCCTCCTCATCCTCATCCTCCTCTTCCTCCTCCTCGTTTTCCTCCTCCTCCTCCTCCTCCTCCTCCTCCTCCTCCTCCTCCTCCTCTGTATCTTCTTCCTCCTCCATCAAACCGCCTCCCACCCCATCTTCCAGCAAGCGCGTCTCGCATCTCTGTGACTGTGACTCTAACGGGAGGTCTCTTTGCAACGGAAAAGCGTTACCCGCCGAAAAGGGCGCACCGAATTCGCTCTGAACTGCCGCAAGAAGCGCTTCATCTTCGTCCTCATCCTCCACCTCCTCCTCCTCTTCATCATACCTTTCCCCCTCATCGTCGTCCTCCTCGTCCTCGTCCTCATAGTTTTCGTCTTCATCGTGTCGGTCGTCCACTGGGCTACTGCCACGTGTCCTCTGGCCAATCATGATGTTTCTCAATATATATTCCCAAAAATGGAAAACGAGAAAGAAAAACGGCTTACATTAGGGACGAATACGGTTTCTAGAAGACGTTTTTGAACGATTGAGCGAGAAACCAGTTTGGTGGACGGTGGCGCATCAGTGACGAAATAGAATAAAACTAGTTTATCGCTCGTTTTGCCAGGCACAAACGACCAGTGCCTGCGGCAAGGAGAACTAAGATTGAATTTGAGGACAGAACGAGAGGTCGTAAAGAGGGTTGTGGGTAGAGAGGTGTCACGATGCCACGTGGCGGTGCCGTTGAACAGATCGGGCTGCAAAAAAAAAACATATCCTCAGCAGATGTGACGAAAACGAGGGTTTGACACCGTGTCGAAAAACGATTCGAGCACTGAGAGATTCGAACTCTCGCGGGCAGAGCCCATGTACTTAGCAGGCACACGCCTTAACCACTCGGCCAAATGCTCGTGAGATGATGTTTTAAGTCAAAAGTTTATCCATTTATTCGTCACACTGACGTTTTCATCTTTTCGTCATTCTCAAGGCAGGTGGGGAGTCAGACGCCATGCGACGAGCATCAGTGCAGCTCTCCTCGCTCAGCGGTGGTCGCTGGAATAATGGATTAAGCGATGGTTCTTCTGCTAGGAATGACACGTCAGCAGAATTGCATCTAGCTGAGCGGAGTTGTGCGGTAATTATAGACTCAGTCGCGGCAGCGAGCCGTGAGCATCCTGACGGTGTATCGGAGGTTCCTATATCGAAGCCCTCGATATTATCGCGTTCCAAGAATGGCGAAGGTTGCAGCGCTCGTTTCGTTAAAACGTCGCAGCATGATGCTAGCAGTGAGGCTTTCGACTCGCCGCTCGCATTGTTTCGCGAATGCTTCCTGGAAGAATCGCAGTGCGACGAGCGACACAGTGTCGGTCGCTCTGGGACGTCGCACGGCTGTGCGAAACGAGCTGCAGGAGAGATTTCGCACTGCGATCATGGGGACGACGAGAGGTCAGCTAGGAGAGTGAAAATCGCTCAACAGAATTATGGTGATCCTGACACCCATCCTGTTAGTAACAGCTTTTTTCATAATGACATTAAGATATGTGATGCTTATAACGCCCTTACTAACACTGATATTAACAATGACGGTCATTGTCGTGACGCCACGCCTGCTTATGTCGTATCTTTTGGGAATCTCCAGACGGGTGGACCGGCCAATCAGGTTGATCGCTGTGAAGGTGGTGACGGTACAGCTGGTGATTATAATGATGCCTTGGGATTGAATGATTTTTACGATGATTACGACGAGATATCCGGGATGATGACTCAGCGTCAGGACTACGCCACGTGGCACAATCAGCATTCAGATGCTCCGGAATTTGAGGAGCAGAAGGGTGCACTGGGGAATGGAAGCAGTATACGAAGGGAGCAGGAAGCTTCTGAGACGGCACACGACCGTTTTTACCACTCAAGGGACGAAGTGATTAGAATAGGCGATGGTTCAAAGGAGGGGCTAGGGTGTGGGGGTGGAAGGGGGGATGCTGCAATGGAGGGGCAAGAGAGTGAAAGGAGGAGGGTGAGAATGGTCAGTGTACAAGAGAAGAGTGTGAGAGGTGTGAGCGTGAGGGTGGAGAGTGGGAGAGGTGTGAATGGGAGGAGGGATGATGAGGAAGAGGAGGAAGAGGTGGTGCGAGAGGAGGAGGAAGGGGAGGAAAAAGAGCATGTGGTGGAGTTGTTGGGAGAAGAAGCGGACGAGGAGGAAGAGGAGGATGAAGATGATGTGATCGAGGTTTCAGACCCAGATGGGGAGAGTGAGGAGGAGGAGAAGGGAGACGGTGGGGAGGAAGGTGGGGAGGAAGAGGAGGAGCAAGGTGAGGATGAACATGGGGAGGAAGAAGAAGAGGAGGTGTATGGGAGCGTGGAAGAGGCTGACGTGGACTGTCCAATCTGCGGCTGCCACCTGTCCCATCTGGAGCCAATCAGACGCGAGCAGCACTCCAACGCATGCCTGGATGCATGGGGAAAGGACAAGGGAGAAGAAGAGGGGACAGAGACAGGCAGAATGGGAGCAGATACCGTCTCGTGTGGAAGGGGCAAGGGGGAAGAGGAGACGGAGGTGCGTAGAACTGCGGTTGATGGCAGGGTGAAGGGCACAGGGGAGAAGCGAGAGGAGAGTGGGACAAGGGGAGAGGGGGCGTGGGAGGAGGGGGAGGAGGAAGAGGAGGGAGAGGATGGGGAGGAGGGAGAGGAGGGAGAGGAGGGAGAGGAGGATGAGAATTCAGCAATGGCTAGGATGTTGTGGCGGAGGATAGAGGCGGATAGCATGGGGATGGAGATGAGGGCATGGAGGAGGAGAGAGACGGTGGAGGTGAGAGGGGAGGAGTGTGAGGAAGAGGAGGAGGAAAGGGAGGAGGAACAGGAGGGGAAGGACAAGGGAGAGAATGGAAGGGGAGAGAAGGAGATGGAGGACATGGAGGAAACGGAGAAGGAAAGACAGCAAGTGGGTGGACAATCAGGTGGAAATTCAGGTGATCCGTCAGGTGTCGGCCAAGGCGCTGAGTCAGGTGCTGTTGCTGCTCAGAAGCGACTAATCACTGACTTCTTTGGAGGCAGCAACAGGCACAAATTGCCACCCCAGCAGCAACAGCAGCAGCAGCAGCAACAACGGCACCAACAGCAGCAAGCAATTGGGGCTGGCACCCCTTTGACTGAGATTCCCAGGGGGCCTCAGCAAGGAGTAGTAGGAAGAGGCGTGAAGTGGGGAGGAAGGGTCGCAGGGAGGGGCGGGAGTGGGAGAGCTGAAGGTGGAGTGAGTGGGAGAGGAGGAGGAGGAGGAGGAGGGATGTCGAAAGGAAGAGGTGGGGGCTGGAACGGGGGGAGAGGGAGAGGTGGGGAGTCGTTGCCAGAGGCGTGGGAGATGATTCCAGGCACTGACTTCCTGGTGGTGAGTGTCAGTCTGTAGAGTACTTTTGAGATGTCTCAAGGGAGGGAGAGGTGGTGGGGTGTCGTTGGCAGAGGCGTGGGAGATGATTCCAGGCACTGACTTCCTGGTGGTGAGTGTCAGTCTGTAGAGTACTTTTGAGATGTCTCAAGGGAGGGAGAGGTGGTGGGGTGTCGTTGGCAGAGGCGTGGGAGATGATTCCAGGCACTGACTTTCTGGTGGTGGGTGGAGTGGTGTGCTGGTTCGGCGTGCACTCAAAACAAAACACAGATACCGTAGTGTTCAGGGAGAGAGGTGGGGTGTTGATACCAGAGGCGTGGGAAATGATTTCAGGCACTGACTTTCTGGTGGTGAGTGGAGTGGTGTGCCTGCTCTGAGTGCACTCAAAGCAAAACACACACCTTAGTGTTCCGGGGGAGGCAGGGTGTCGTTACCAGAAGCGTGGGAAATGATTCTAGGCACTGACTTCCTGGTGGTGAGTGCCTGTTCGGTCTGATCTTGTGCCTGGTGAGTGCCCGACTTTCAGATACTTGTGGTTCTTCTGAGACGGTTCATGACAAGGAGGCGTGGGTCTAAGGGCGTGGGTCTAAGGGAGTGGGTCTAAGGGAGTGGGTCTAAGGGCGTGGGTCTAAGGGCGTGGGTCTAAGGGAGTGGGTCTAAGGGCGTGGGTCTAAGGGAGTGGGTCTAAGGGCGTGGGTCTAAGGGCGTGGGTCTAAGGGAGTGGGTCTAAGGGAGTGGGTCTAAGGGCGTGGGTCTAAGGGCGTGGGTCTAAGGGCGTGGGTCTAAGGGCGTGGGTCTAAGGGAGTGGGTCTAAGGGAGTGGGTCTAAGGGCGTGGGTCTAAGGGAGTGGGTCTAAGGGAGTGGGTCTAAGGGAGTGGGTCTAAGGGAGTGGGTCTAAGGGAGTGGGTCTAAGGGCGTGGGTCTAAGGGCGTGGGTCTAAGGGCGTGGGTCTAAGGGCGTGGGTCTAAGGGCGTGGGTCTAAGGGCGTGGGTCTAAGGGCGTGGGTCTAAGGGCGTGGGTCTAAGGGAGTGGGTCTAAGGGAGTGGGTCTAAGGGAGTGGGTCTAAGGGCGTGGGTCTAAGGGAGTGGGTCTAAGGGCGTGGGTCTAAGGGCGTGGGTCTAAGGGCGTGGGTCTAAGGGCGTGGGTCTAAGGGCGTGGGTCTAAGGGCGTGGGTCTAAGGGCGTGGGTCTAAGGGCGTGGGTCTAAGGGCGTGGGTCTAAGGGAGTGGGTCTAAGGGAGTGGGTCTAAGGGAGTGGGTCTAAGGGTGTGGGTATAAGGGCGTGGGTCTAAGGGCGTGGGTCTAAGGGAGTGGGTCTAAGGGCGTGGATCTAAGGGCGTCGGTCTAAGGGCGTAGGTCTAAGGGAGTGGGTCTAAGGGTGGGGGTCTAAGGGAGTGGGTCTAAGGGCGTGGGTCTAAGGGAGTGGGTCTAAGGGCGCGGGTCTAAGGGCGCGGGTCTAAGGGAGGGGGTCTAAGGGCGCAGGTCTAAGGGAGTGGGTCTAAGGGCGTGGGTCTAAGGGCGTGGGTCTAAGGGAGTGGGTCTAAGGGCGTGGGTCTAAGGGCGTGGGTCTAAGGGCGTGGGTCTAAGGGCGTGGGTCTAAGGGCGTGGGTCTAAGGGCGTGGGTCTAAGGGAGTGGGTCTAAGGGCGTGGGTCTAAGGGAGTGGGTCTAAGGGAGTGGGTCTAAGGGAGTGGGTCTAAGGGAGTGGGTCTAAGGGCGTGGGTCTAAGGGCGTGGGTCTAAGGGCGTGGGTCTAAGGGCGTGGGTCTAAGGGAGTGGGTCTAAGGGCGTGGGTCTAAGGGCGTGGGTCTAAGGGCGTGGGTCTAAGGGCGTGGGTCTAAGGGCGTGGGTCTAAGGGAGTGGGTCTAAGGGCGTGGGTCTAAGGGCGTGGGTCTAAGGGCGTGGGTCTAAGGGAGTGGGTGTAAGGGGGTGGGTCTAAAGGCGTGGGTCTAAGGGCGTGGGTCTAAGGGCGTGGGTCTAAGGGCGTGGGTCTAAGGGAGTGGGTCTAAGGGAGTGGGTCTAAGGGCGTGGGTCTAAGGGAGTGGGTCTAAGGGCGTGGGTCTAAGGGAGTGGGTCTAAGGGAGTGGGTCTAAGGGAGTGGGTCTAAGGGCGTGGGTCTAAGGGAGTGGGTCTAAGGGAGTGGGTCTAAGGGAGTGGGTCTAAGGGAGTGGGTCTAAGGGCATAGGTCTAAGGGCGTGGGTCTAAGGGCGTGGGTCTAAGGGCGTGGGTCTAAGGGAGTGGGTCTAAGGGAGTGGGTCTAAGGGCGTGGGTCTAAGGGCGTGGGTCTAAGGGCGTGGGTCTAAGGGCGTGGGTCTAAGGGCGTGGGTCTAAGGGCGTGGGTCTAAGGGCGTGGGTCTAAGGGCGTGGGTCTAAGGGCGTGGGTCTAAGGGCGTGGGTCTAAGGGCGTGGGTCTAAGGGCGTGGGTCTAAGGGAGTGGGTCTAAGGGCGTGGGTCTAAGGGCGTGGGTCTAAGGGCGTGGGTCTAAGGGCGTGGGTCTAAGGGCGTGGGTCTAAGGGCGTGGGTCTAAGGGCGTGGGTCTAAGGGAGTGGGTCTAAGGGAGTGGGTCTAAGGGCGTGGGTCTAAGGGAGTGGGTCTAAGGGCGTGGGTCTAAGGGCGTGGGTCTAAGGGCGTGGGTCTAAGGGCGTGGGTCTAAGGGCGTGGGTGTAAGGGCATGGGTCTAAGGGCGTGGGTCTAAGGGAGTGGGTCTATGGCGTGGGTCTAAGGGCGTGGGTCTAAGGGCGTGGGTCTAAGGGAGTGGGTCTAAGGGAGTGGGTCTAAGGGCGTGGGTCTAAGGGCGTGGGTCTAAGGGAGTGGGTCTAAGGGCGTGGGTCTAAGGGCGTGGGTCTAAGGGCGTGGGTCTAAGGGCGTGGGTCTAAGGGAGTGGGTCTAAGGGCGTGGGTCTAAGGGAGTGGGTCTAAGGGCGTGGGTCTAAGGGCGTGGGTCTAAGGGAGTGGGTCTAAGGGAGTGGGTCTAAGGGCGTGGGTCTAAGGGAGTGGGTCTAAGGGCGTGGGTCTAAGGGCGTGGGTCTAAGGGCGTGGGTCTAAGGGCGTGGGTCTAAGGGAGTGGGTCTAAGGGAGTGGGTCTAAGGGAGTGGGTCTAAGGGAGTGGGTCTAAGGGCGTGGGTCTAAGGGCGTGGGTCTAAGGGCGTGGGTCTAAGGGCGTGGGTCTAAGGGAGTGGGTCTAAGGGAGTGGGTCTAAGGGAGTGGGTCTAAGGGTGTGAGTCTAAGGGAGTGGGTCTAAGGGCGTGGGTCTAAGGGCGTGGGTCTAAGGGCGTGGGTCTAAGGGAGTGGGTCTAAGGGCGTGGGTCTAAGGGCGTGGGTCTAAGGGAGTGGGTCTAAGGGCGTGGGTCTAAGGGAGTGGGTCTAAGGGCGTGGGTCTAAGGGCGTGGGTCTAAGGGCGTGGGTCTAAGGGCGTGGGTCTAAGGGCGTGGGTCTAAGGGCGTGGGTCTAAGGGAGTGGGTCTAAGGGCGTGGGTCTAAGGGCGTGGGTCTAAGGGCGTGGGTCTAAGGGAGTGGGTGTAAGGGGGTTCTAAGGGCGTGGGTCTAAGGGCGTGGGTCTAAGGGCGTGGGTCTAAGGGCGTGGGTCTAAGGGCGTGGGTCTAAGGGAGTGGGTCTAAGGGAGTGGGTCTAAGGGAGTGGGTCTAAGGGAGTGGGTCTAAGGGCGTGGGTCTAAGGGAGTGGGTCTAAGGGCGTGGGTCTAAGGGAGTGGGTCTAAGGGCGTGGGTCTAAGGGAGTGGGTCTAAGGGAGTGGGTCTAAGGGAGTGGGTCTAAGGGAGTGGGTCTAAGGGCATGGGTCTAAGGGCGTGGGTCTAAGGGAGTGGGTCTAAGGGCGTGGGTCTAAGGGAGTGGGTCTAAGGGAGTGGGTCTAAGGGAGTGGGTCTAAGGGAGTGGGTCTAAGGGCGTGGGTCTAAGGGCGTGGGTCTAAGGGCGTGGGTCTAAGGGCGTGGGTCTAAGGGAGTGGGTCTAAGGGCGTGGGTCTAAGGGCGTGGGTCTAAGGGCGTGGGTCTAAGGGCGTGGGTCTAAGGGAGTGGGTCTAAGGGCGTGGGTCTAAGGGCGTGGGTCTAAGGGCGTGGGTCTAAGGGCGTGGGTCTAAGGGCGTGGGTCTAAGGGAGTGGGTCTAAGGGCGTGGGTCTAAGGGCGTGGGTCTAAGGGCGTGGGTCTAAGGGAGTGGGTGTAAGGGGGTGGGTCTAAAGGCGTGGGTCTAAGGGCGTGGGTCTAAGGGCGTGGGTCTAAGGGCGTGGGTCTAAGGGAGTGGGTCTAAGGGAGTGGGTCTAAGGGAGTGGGTCTAAGGGATTGGGTCGAAGGGCGTGGGTCTAAGGGAGTGGGTCTAAGGGAGTGGGTCTAAGGGAGTGGGTCTAAGGGCGTGGGTCTAAGGGAGTGGGTCTAAGGGAGTGGGTCTAAGGGAGTGGGTCTAAGGGAGTGGGTCTAAGGGCATGGGTCTAAGGGCGTGGGTCTAAGGGAGTGGGTCTAAGGGAGTGGGTCTAAGGGCGTGGGTCTAAGGGAGTGGGTCTAAGGGCGTGGGTCTAAGGGAGTGGGTCTAAGGGCGTGGGTCTAAGGGCGTGGGTCTAAGGGAGTGGGTCTAAGGGAGTGGGTCTAAGGGCATGGGTCTAAGGGCGTGGGTCTAAGGGCGTGGGTCTAAGGGAGTGGGTCTAAGGGCGTGGGTCTAAGGGCGTGGGTCTAAGGGAGTGGGTCTAAGGGCGTGGGTCTAAGGGCGTGGGTCTAAGGGAGTGGGTCTAAGGGCGTGGGTCTAAGGGCGTGGGTCTAAGGGAGTGGGTCTAAGGGCGTGGGTCTAAGGGAGTGGGTCTAA